CCACATGTTTCAGTTTGCAAGAGCTGAGCGGGGCCGTTGAGGACGGGACATTTTGAAGATTGTCCATTCATAGGATCGCTACAGTCCGTATCAACCACAACAAAAGAACAAAAAGGCTTGTTAAAATGGAGACGGATGGGCACCACTAGGAGACTCGTTGATGGGCTATGTAGTAAAGAAATACATCAATAGAGACCTTGGATCGGAAGGAGGAGAGAGAGAACCAGCAAGAGGGTGGTTTGAACAGAGCAGCAGGATTAAAATAAATTAAAATAGTGCAGAACAGAAACTTACGAAATGATGCCAGGATCCAGGACTGGAGGTCCTTGGGGTTAACAAAGAAGGAAAAGAAGTGAAACATGGGAGCGAATGGCTGCTAATGGAAAAAATGCTGGTTGCATTTCTGGTTCACGTCACTGATAGTGCAGTCAAGCAATACAACCTTCATTTACAACAAGTGATTTTACTTAAGCAAATTGAAACGGCCAAGGATAGCTAAGGAGAACCTCCTACTTCGGCAGCAGTATACCCCTTAAAAATCAGTGCTTGGAACAAATGAGAAAGTAGGACTACACCTTGAGAGCGTTCCAAACACATCTGGCTGTCCCCTGGTTTTGGTAACAGGATGATGGCTGCGGCAGATCGGGGGGGGGGGAGTTGCCATTAGGATTCCCATCTTCCGTGGCTGATTTCCAAGCAGCCCGCCTGCCTCCCAGTCAAAGCCCCCCCCCCCGGTGCAGAAGTGCCAGAGCCACATGTTCTGAAAAAGGGGAGGAAAAAAGGATTTGTGCTTTTCAAACCTCAGCCCCAGGCGTTGAGAAATCAAGGAAGCTTTGAGGAAGTTGCCGAAAAGGTTTCGGCATGAGAAGCTTGCGGCTGGCAAATGGAAGGGACCGTGTTTTCTTTGACTGTTGGTTTTCAGGCTGCTGCTTCCCAGGAAAAGGTGGATTCTGCCCCTTTGGCTTAAACACACCTTGCAGATACCGAAATATGGCTCGCCTGGGAGAAAAGGCCTTAACTTTGAAGGCTCCTTGTGGCTGACCTAGGCCTAGCTTTGCCTGAGCTTCCTGTTGCTGCCCCAGTGCTAGCTGGGAGCTTTCTTTCTGAACAGGAAGTTGGGTGGAACGAGGCCTAGCTCAGCCCCCCAGAGCCTTCCAGTTTAGGCCTTTCCGCCCAGGCGAGCCAAATTTCGGTATCTGTGTGTTTAAATCAGGTAGAACTCCCAGAAAGAGAAATTATAGGATGTCCAAAAAAAAAAATCTGAACATCCCACCTCTAGCTTTTATTTGTGAGTCTGATTATATTCATGGACTGGATATTCCCCTTCCCTGTTCCGAAAATTGAATTTGCCAGTGGTGTGTGTATGTGTGTGCATTTACACCTGTATCCCTCTTATTGCTCCTGCCCCGGTGCATAAATACACACACTCGCTCTCTCTATGGCACCGTCTGTCATCCCCTGCACCCCGCAGCTGCTGTTGGGACAGATTGAACTTCTGATAACCATTCGGTATTCTCCCTCTGGTTTCTCTTTGCTCTAATGAACTACCAACCTGTCTGGTTTCTAAATCAATGGAAGATGAGTGATCATCGATAGAAGTCCATACAGCCACGTAGAAGATGGAGTGTAGATTCCAGCGGGGCGGAACAACGGTGTTGTGAGTCAGATTTTCAGTCTCGGTTCCCCCCCCCCTCCATCCTGCACACGGCCCCTTGGGTGGTTCTCGAACCCGCTCCCCCAGTTTTCCTCCCTGGAAACTGAATGCTGAGTCTGGAAAAATGAGGCAATCTAATATTTACCCCTTTTGTGCTGGGAATTTCTTCCACTCCAGTGAAAAATGAGCAGAGGTTGGAAATATAAGAATCTTCAGATATGAGTATTTCAATACATGGTCACTTCCACACGCATTTATTTATGCATTGGTTTTCTTACATATCTGTACCTTTTTAAGTACAATAACGTTCACGCCTTTTGAATTGATTGGGAAAGCCGATCATGGATGTTGTGGTTCGAGGTGGAGAACCTTTGATCTTCTGGTTTTGGGGGACTACGTTTCCCATAATGCCCTCCCCCTGTGTTGGCCTCACTGTTGGGAGTATTGGCAACCTTGTCTGCTGCCTTTAGTAGGTTTGGCTGGGAGGGAGTTTTCTGCGCTGGGATGACTTATCAGCCTATCCAGCACTAACCAATTGCTCCCTTCTGCCTCTGATTTCAAAGAGAGCCCCGCCTCTCTGCTCTGTGTCTCTTTCCCTCTCTTCGAGTCTGTTGTTGAAAGCTGTCCTGCTTGTCAGTTCAGTCTGCTGTCTTGTTTGTACAATTATAAGGTTATCAAACCTTTAATTCTTTCTCTTCCTAATGTCTTGAAAGCTGTCCTGTTTGTCAGTTCAGTTTGCTGTCTTGTTTGTACAATTCTAAGGTTATGAAACCTTTAATTCTTTCTCTTCCTAATGTCTCAGAGCGAGGTTATTGAGAATGCAAGTGCCAGCTTAACGGGGGAAAGGAGTGAACTACTCTGGACAACTTGAAGCTCTTCTGTTCTGTGACTCCTTGGACTTGCTGTGCACTTAGAGGAATTTAACAAAAAATTCAAAACTTCACAATATATATTAGGTAGAATGGATGGGAATTGAAAATCTAAAGTGCTGTAACTGCCTAGACAATTGTGGTCGTGATATAAAGAGCTTGGCTAGTTTATACATACAACAGGCTTCAATCCTGTGTGTGCCTACCTGGGAGTAAGTCCTATTGAGCACAGTGGGGCTTACTTTTGAGTAGATGAGGGCAAAACCTCCTTGGTTTGGTTTGTACTCTTTAAAGCTGTAAATAAATCATCTTGGTTTTTTTTTTCCCCAACGGATTGTGCAGTGCTATCATTAGAAAACCTTGTAATTTTTCCGCCAAGAAAAAGCAGCAGATTTCTAAAATTGCCATGAATCTGGGCCAACAAAAGGAGAATAGCATGAACTGAATCTGACTAATGTAAAGCAGAAAAACAAATCAGCAGGGAATTCAGCTCCTGGGTAAATGGGATCAAACGTCGTCTAGAAATACTGAGTTCTGATGTATTTGTTTCTGCACCTAAACCGTTGCGCTTGTACGGGCTGATCCGACCTCACAGGGTTGTCGTGGGAGTGAAATGGCTAGGCAGGTCGGGGGAATTATGTAGGTTTTCCTCGTTCCTGGAAGACTGGGGTAAAGAGGCAGTGATTGCCAGGAGCGTTTAAAAAGTAGTAATTTATGTAATCACCTGATTATTGATGGTTGAGAATAATTAATACCCATTTTCTTGCTTTGAAGTTTCCATGTAAACAGTGTCAGAGATGCCTTTGGAGTATAATCTAGATGTCAGTTACCCAACCGAAAGGAAAAAGACGTCTTAGCATGTAGACTTGGAAGAATTACCCATGGATAAAGGCTGGTCCTGCCCTTAGGGGTGTGGGGAGTAAGATTCTAGACTCTAGGGTCCCCTGAAACTGTCATTATCCAGTTCCTTTTGGACTACAAAACCTATCACCCAGGCTGGCTCTACTCGCAGGAGGCGCAATCCAACTCCCAACCTCTGGCTCTGCAGCCTGGATGCCTCAACCACTGAGCAACCCAGTCAGAACTTTATACAGGGACTGAATAGGGCTCAGGGGTTCGGAGGGCCCCTGTAAAGTTCGGAGCAAAACCCGAAGCGGATTCAGTTCCCCCTTGTTAAAATGGGAGCGGTCAGGCTCACAGAAAATCCTGCCTCAAGAGGAAGGGGAGGCGAGGTTTTGCATTTAATTCTGCATTAAAGAATAACTTCAGTGTGTTTTTCTCGGCTCAAGGCAGCTGGTCAATTTCAGAGTTTGCCCACCCATTTTGAGTCAAATCCCCTTGACTGGGTCCTTTACAAATGCAAAAATACCCCCGTGGCCTTCACACCCTTCTTTACCCTTCCACTCGGTATAACAAATGTCGGACTGTGAGCTATATATTCACCCAAGACGTCTCTCTGGTTGGTACAAAGCGCCCTGATTGAAGAATGCAATCTGCATGCAATTAACAGGGTTAATGAAGGTGGTTGCCTTATTAATAACTAACTCTTCCATGGAGGCAGGCTGGGGTGACATGCCCTACGCAGTGGCTCTTAGGAAGGAAGCTCAAGTTTCTTGACCCCTCCGGATGGAGTTTTTGCCCTCTTCGACAACTTCTTTTCGTGTCATTAATCTCCGTCTGAAAACCCAAATAGAAGTTGCAGGGTTCTTGAACGAAACCCAACCATCTGGGTGGGCCGCTGGGTCTGTGGGACGGCCGACGTCTCAAAACCTAAGTTCAGCTTTGATGGGCCACCAGCTTGGCCATTCCGGAGCTCAGCGGAGTGGGAGAGGAGAAAAAAAGCACAAAACGGGGGGGGGGGGGAACAATACTGGAGGGGTGCCTCAACCCTAAAGTTTTTTTTAATTTGGCCACTAGAGGGCAGAAAGGAACACTTTCAGTTAAAAAAAAGTAATAATAAGAAAAAATATTTGAGGGGGTGGCAGGTTACGGCACCAGGTGTGCCTTTCTTGAGATCTAGAGGGGTGCCTGAACCCTAAAGTTTTTTTTAATTTGGCCACTAGTGGGCAGAAAGGAACACTTTCAGTTTGAAAAAAAAGTAATAATAAGAAAAATATTTGAGGGGGTGGCGGGTTACGGTACCAGGTGTGCCTTTCTTGAGATCTAGAGGTGCCTGCTGAAAGTTGTGTTAAAGTTGTGAGATTGAGCCGCCACGTCGCGGGTAGCTGGACTGGTCGCCTCCTGTCCCGGAGTCGGAGCCTGAAGCCTGACTCGTGGGCCCCAAACCAATGTGTGCCACTCAACGCCAAAGGCCCGGATGGTGTCCAGAGTGGATAGAAAAGGCTGGTCAGATCAGGTTTCAAAGTGTTGGCTTCCAAACTCTGTTTCTCAGAGTTGGCTTCTGCACGGCAGTGCTGCCTAGTGGTTGAGGAGGGCCACCCTCCTTCATAACAACCTCATTCCTTTCTGTTTTCCAGTTCACGTCCAGGATCTTCCCCCCGGCTCGGAGCCCACCGAGACCTCGCCCGTGCCCCCTGCTGCTGCCGCCGTGCTTCCGGTGAGCTACCGGCTCTCCAACACCCGCCTGGCCTTCTTCCTGCGGGAGACGCGGCCGGGACCGTCCGACAATGCCAGTGCCGGCCTGACCCGCTCGGAGCCCTTCGTGGTCTTCCAGACCAAGGAGCTGCCGGTCCTGAACGTCTCCTTGGGGCCCTTCGCCACCGGCCAGGCCTTGCCAAAGGAGCTGCTGCAGCCGTCCAGCACGCTGGAGGTGCCGGAGCGCCTGACGGTGAACTGGAAAGTCCGGGCCTTCATCGTGCGGACGCGGGTGCCAGCCAACCAGCCCACCGCCCAGGTCCTCTTCTACGTCTCCGGCCGAGACTGGGACGACTTTGACGCTACTGAGCGGCTGCCGTGCGTGCGCCTCCACGCATTCCGGGACGCCCGCGAGCTCCGGGTCTCATGCCGCCTCCGGAGCAGCCTGGCCTCCTGCTTGGCTCAAGCCGAGCTGCCGCAGGCCTGGTTCGGACCTTCGGCTGCCCCCTCAGGCCGCAGGAAAGGACCGGAGGGGCTGGAGCCGGCCGGAGACGTCCAGCTTGTGGAACTGTACTACACGCTGCACACCCCGGATGGGATGGGAGATTGTGGGGGCGAACTGATGGGGAGAAGGGGGGGCGCCGGGGCCCGGACCGAAGGCCCCACGCAGCACCCGCTCCTGCGCATCGGCAGCCTGAGGCTGGTCCAGCCCTCCGCCGCCCTGCCCTTCCAGGAACAGCGTCTGGATGACAACGTCTTTGTTCGGCTGCCTGAGAGTCCCCTCAAGCCGGGCGAAGTGCTCAACGTGCTCCTGTACCTGATGGACAACTCCACCGTCGAGCACTTCACCCTCAGGTAAGTGAGGACCAGGGAGGAGGAGGAGGAGGAGAAGGAGGAGGGTGGTGTTCTCCGGTGGTCCAGAGAAAGGGGTGCTCCCCAGAAGCCAGCTAGTTTGGCCTGAGGGTGCTGTTCTCCTTGGGCGTGCGGGCTATGCCATGGAAGTGTGGGAGATGCCTCCTAGGGCCATCTTCTAACGAGGTCTACGGCCACCACATCGTCCATCTTCCTTGCAAGGTGGAGGAGGGACCTATGACCTCCAGAACACTGGCCTTTTTCTTTCAGAAACGTCTCATGAGTGGCTGGGTGGTGGACGAACGGGTACAGCGGGGGTTTCATAGTTCTGGAAGCACCACGTGACCTTCTCAGTTGCGACCCCACAGACTCTTGGATGTGGGAGGATGCTATGGCACACCCTTTCTTGCACCAAGGAGAGCCGCCAGAACTTGCTCTGGATTTTGGTGGTGCCATGGACCACCCCATAGTTTCTGGGAGATACACCGTATCTCCTGGCCATGTCAGGACCGTTGTCCGCCCCTTTCCAAAAAGAAAGAAGGGCTTTATTTGTCACTTTCTGTCTAACCCAAAGCTATCCTCTGGAAGAACAGGTGCTTTGTCTATGAAAAGGTTCCAAGCTAAATGCCTGCCATATTCAGGTAGGGCCAAGAAGAAACAATGAACAGTCTAAAATCCTGGGGAACTGACCAGGGTTGGGCAACATCCAGCACTCTGGTGGCCACTAGATCTAACCCTCAACCTTAGGGTGCTGTTCCATGACCCACCTAAACCTCTTAGCAATATATGTATATTTTTATTAAACGAAAAAGTTCCATAATATATAAACACAGCACTTTGACCCCTTCTCCCAAAGCCACTGTCTGACCTCCCAAGGAGGCATCTTTTCCTTCTTGACAATGCAAGAGGCTAGTTAAAAATCCCCCTTCAAGGAAAGGTCTTGGTTTTTTGGGGGTGGGCGGGTCACATCATTGAACCCACTGCCGTTCTCTCTCTCTTTTTTAATGCATGGATTTTGTCCAGGACAATGCTCGTAAACGGTGGCAATAAGCAATTCATTTTTTGGGTAGAGCCAACAACAGATTTCTGCATCCGATGTACCAATTCAGAAATGGAAGGCAGCCATTCCTGATTTCCTTGGGGAGGAAAAGGCCGAGCGATTGAACAGGGCAACGGGCATTCTCTTTACCAAGTGCTGAAGATCCCAGAGGCCATTAAAACTCTCCACTTTTTTTTAAGGGTCAGAGCAGACATTAGAGATGGCCCTGTTGTTAGAAGAGGGGATCCCTTCCGTACTGAAGGAGGGATGATTGTCGCAATAGCAGGTTCGGACCCTACCCGTCTCTGCCCAGTCAGTGCCAGCCTGGCACGCGTATGAGCATGCATGTTTTGGCTTCCGCGAGGTGTAGGCAAGGATGACCGTTGATCTGGGAAGGGTTCGGCAACATGACCAGGGAGATAATCAAGAGGGCCCGGAGGGAGGTGCCAAACTGAAGGGTCCTCGAGAAACAGACGTTGCTCTCTTCTTTCCTTGCTGCTTGACAGGGTGAAGGCGAAGAAAGGGGTGAATCTCCTCACCACCCGCTCGCGGCACCCCAAGTGGCTGGTGAATTCGGAATTTCAAGCCGGCAGTAAGCACGCCACCTCCACGGTGGACGTGGCTTGGATCGGTGGCCCTTTGCCCAGGTAGGATTCTCCTCTGGCCCCGGAGATCCGAGCGATGAGATCCAGAAACTCGCGAGTGTTTTTTTTCCCCACCTTTAAATGTAGGAACCTTTTTTTTGGGGGGGGAACAAACAACGAAAAGCAAAATAGAATCTGTGGGGTAAATTCAATTGTCCTAATAAAGCAAAACGGATTAAATCAGTGGGGTTTTCCCTTAACGGTTAGCTGGGGGCCTTCAGTGAGTCAGCTCCCTCTACAAAGGGGAAAAAAATCTTGAGTAAAAATGAAATACAATGAACAAAACAGCTGGATTGAGACCCATGGTTATAAAAATAGTGTTTTTCATAAAGTTTGCATTGCCGTTTATACCCGAACGAAAAGGGTTCTTTCTGTAGCATATTATTAATTCACAGTTCTAGATCCCATCTCCTCTCCACCTTCCTTGTGTTTAATATCACAACAGCCCTGTGAGGTAGATCAGCGTGAGAGAGGGAGGGAGAATGACTGGTTCAGGGTCTGTGCAGTGAGTTTCGAAGCTCCATGGGGAATCCGAGCCCTATTTCACACGTCCCTTCTCGTTCCTGTAAATAGCGTGCGGCTCCATTTGGTTCCCCATCCTGTGGTTGATTTGTCTAGGTGAGCAACCTTTGGCCGCATCGCATCTGGCCCTTGGCCCACTGCGAAAGCCCTCTTTGCGCAGGAGGAGTTGAGACTTCCTCAGCAAGATCTGGCTCTCCCTGAAAGCTGTGTGGGGAGGAAAAGAGAGGGTTAGAAAAGTAGAAACGGAGAGAAAACTTTAGAAGAGGTTGCCCATGTGCTCTATAAGAGAGGTTGTCTAGGGATGGAGCTGTCTGACATATGGGCATGCCTCTGGGAGATTGTTCTATTTTTGCTCTTGTGTTTGTGTGTGTGTGCTTGTTTGTCACATTTTGCGCCTGCTGCCACGGTAGAAAATTCCCAACAAATGTCTTTCCCAAGCTGGAGAAGAACTTTCTTGGATCCCAATGGGTACACGTTTGCACCCAGTTCATGGATCCTATACCTCTATGCCCAAATTAGAAATTACTAGTATTGTAGTGGGTGGGATATGGCCAGTACCAAGGGTTTAATCACTAGGCAACACTGCCCCTTTCCCCTGAGTGACCTCCTCTCCCTTGGGAATTACTATCCTCTTCTAATGTTGGAGTTATTTCAATTTCGTATGCTGCCTTTATTAGGTTTGGCTGAGAGGACTGTCAGTCAATCCAGTAGTAACCAATGGTTCCTTTCCTACCTCTGATTTCAAAGAGAGACCCGCCTCTCTGCTTAAGTGTCTTTACCCCCCTCTCTTTTTAGTATGCTGTCTGTCAGCAATTAATGCCATTGTGTGAATGTAGTCTTCTGGAAGTAGGCTGTAAGTCTGTGGGGGCCTGTTGTTGCACAACAGTCATATTTGCACAGTGTGCTGTTTTTGGTCTGTTCAACCATGAGTAAATGAAACCTTTGTTTGATCCAAACAGGAATAGAGTTGCACCCAATTTGTGGATCCCAAACATATATGGCCAGATTAGAAGTTGCTTATGGGTGAACCTTGCCTTTCCCAGGATTTTGTGGGATTGTTTGCAGCTCACAAAACAGACCCACAAAGGCGGGGTGTGATTGTGCAAGAGGCAGAGAAAGTATTTTAGGGAAAGGTGCCCAACCTTGACTTCTCTATATTTGTGAGAAAGAGCTTGTAAAAAGGGGTGCAGCAAGAGAAGAATATATTTGGAGAAATATGCTTACAAAAAAGGCTTCTGAACGTCCGTGGGAGAAAGGAGCACGGCAAATTTGTAAACTGGTGCAGAAATCAGCTGGAATAATTTATGTCTGTGTGTAAGGACGTAGTGAATACTTGCAATTTTTTTTTAAACCAGCAGCAGCCCAAAACCAAGTATGTATATCTTGTGTGCAAAACAAATGAAAAGACGGTGGGTTTTCTGAGCAAAAAAGGTGAGGATTTCTGTGCATAATGTACCAGGTTTTTGGGGGGCAAAGGGCGTGTCTGATTTTGGTTTTTATTTTAAAATTTTGAAGAAGGGGCACTAAAGGGGGGGAAAATGTGCAAAAACTCACCTAATCAGCTCCAGAGAGGGAGGAAATGGTTGAGCTTTTTCTTTGCTCTCCCTTGTGAGACTGAAAGAAGCAAAGATTTACATCCCTTTTGTGAGATGGAGAAACGGATCGGCTGTCCTTTCTGATGTGTGTTACACCCATGCTTTTGGGAGTGTAGTTGAACTGGGGCCTGCAGGGTCAAAGCCCTGGGATTTTTTAATGAGCGCGGTCGACGACACCGCCTTCCATATCTCCCCTGCCACCAGGTTCTTTCTTCCCTTTGAGAATTAGCTGACGGCTTCACAACAGGCATTGAGGAAATGCCCTGTTCCCTGCGCCAACAGATTTATCAGCCTTCTCTGGAGCAAAGAAGCATTGGTGGGGTTCGTGGCCCCCTTGGAGGGCTCCATCCGTGCCAATAATTTGGAGGCCACCATAGCAGACAACGACGGGGGTCTGAGTGACTGATCCCGGAGACTGGACTCCCCGATAGAGTCGGTTCTATTCCAGAGTCAGAAGAGAAGGTCTAGATTCCTTCCAGGAAGAACGGCCCATGTGGAAGACACAAACTCAGCTTGAGGTCTCTTTGGTGAAGTGTCCTGAGCTCCAGCCCCCCCCCCCCCCCTGTGATGTTTCTTGTCCCCTGCCTTCCACTGTGACTCTTCTGCAGCGCATGATCTTGTCCTGTCTTGACTTCATCTCTTGGGACCCTCCCTTGCCTGTTCGCATTGGTAGGACTTGGCAGTGGTGGAATCTGGATCATCCTCTCTTAACCTTACATTCCTCTGTGGTGGGGCAGATGTTGGCTTTTGACGAAGTTGGCTTGTTTCCTGGCTCATCCATTGATAGTGTTGTTCCTTTTGCTCTTCGGGCTCAGCGTCGCCCAGGATAGGACTGTGTTCTGTCCGATAACTCCCCATCCGATAACGCTCTCTCTCTCTTTCATGTCCAACATGCATTGCTAACTCGCAGGAGATGAATCGTGCTTATCAACACCAAACAGATCTCCTTCATTCCACCATCTACCCACCTACCCATCAATATGCTGAAACTCATTTGAAGATCGCAGTCCTCTGCCTTCTAGCTTTGAGAAAGTGCCAATCTGGGAGAAATGATTGATGACCAAGGAAAAGAGAATGAGGGTCTCCATTTTTTAAAAAGGGTGGGTAGGAAGTTCTCTAGAGTTTTTTTTTAAAAAAGGTGTGCCTCTAGCAGGCGTATGATTCTTTGCTTATTTGGTTCTTGCAGATAGGAATGGAAAATTCCCCATTTTCTCACTGCCAGAGAAGACGATGTTAGTTTTCGTGTCTTTGCTCCTTTCAGTAATTTCCAGAAGCCCTAACGAGTTTACAGCAGCCCCCCTCCCCAGTACAGGGTTCTCTGGGGTGTGTGTGTGTGGACTACAACCACCCTCATCCCCCAGGCTGGGCTCATTGGGGATAGTGGGGGATGTCGTCCTGCCCGAACAGGGATTTGAACCCAGATCTTGATAGGAGGGGTATGGTTTTTTTCTGTGATGGTCCCCGATTTAAGAGCAGATCTGAAGACCTGGCATCTGCTCTGTGATTAGGAGGAAATTGGGAGAAAGAGAAAAACCCAAACTCTAACCCAGTTGGGGCTTTAAAAAAAGGCAAAGCCATCTTGAAAAGCGACGAGGAACCAAAGGCGTGGATCAAAGCGCTGGTTTCCCTGCCGGAGGAGCCTTCCTGGAGAGTGGCTGATAAGCCTTTGTAGTGAGCTTGTTTTAAACCGAGTTCCTCAAGGAGAGAAATGCCCAGATGCTCGGCTGCGATTTCTCCGAGTCGGAGATAGAGGGGAAGGAAAACCGGCAAGCAGGCGGGGGACTTGATGTGCCAACAGACAGGCAGCTGGCACTGAGCAGTGGGGTGGGGGGGGAAGCAGCCCAGAATTGGAATCCAGGTCTTCAGAAGCCACGAGATTTCTGAAGTTTGGGATGATACGAGGCAAGCAATGCTGGAGTCTGCAGTGGTGCACAGATAATCGTGTGCTGTGGAATTTGGCTCACCTCTGGACGGTATTAATCCACTGCAGCGTCTGTGGAGTGGGAACCTTTTTTTCCCCTTCAAGAAATCAAAGGGAGCTCTGGTCAGTAACACTCTTCTCAACTCAGCCCTCAGGGCCCTGAGGACTAGAAGCTTGCTTTGGAATTAAGTCCAATGAAGCAGCAGCTGCCAAGTTGCATGGCTGTTGCCATAGCTTCAGACGTCTGTTTCTGAGGGGTGCAACGATCATTAGCACCCTAGGTGGTCGGGATCCCCAAGAGATGAATGATGATTGCTGGGTGACTGATAGGAGCTGGGGGGGTGTCAGGTCACTGGGCAGCTTTGAAATACATGTTTATATTGCACTGCTAGGACATTTGAGGCCTTGGATGGGTTGCTTGTGTCTTTTGTCACTACCAGCTCCACACAAAGCCCCTACGGAAGCATGAGAGGAACTCTGTCTCCCTCTCGGCATCTCGCGGGCCTTCTTATTGTGTGCCAAAGTGTCACATCCTGCCTAGACAGCCTTGGTCAACAAGAACAAGGCATTACACTAAGTTTTCTTTCCATCTGTAGCCTGAAGCCACCCGTCCTCGGAGATCCAGAACATGTGGGCCTTTCTTAAACCAGCTGGTTGCCAATGGACTCTAAGGTCCCCTTTTTTGCTGAGTGCCTCTGGGGAGCTGAAGTCACAATACAGGAATACCTCACCCCACATCACGCAGACGAGTCACAGTGTACATGCTCAGGGGGCCCATCTTGATGGGTCTTGGTCTACGTGAGGGAGGGAGGTGAGGACCCCAGGCAGTGGGTCCCCTTGAAGGAGAGAACTCGGCATCTTGTAGACTTGACCTACCACCTGCATCAGAGGGAGACTCAGCCCCCCGAGATGCCTGCAGAAAGCAGACAGCTTTTAGAACGTGATCTGTCTAGTTCTGTCTGCCTGAGGGAGGCCAGGCCTCTGGAGATCCAGCTAGAACATGCAATGCTGACTTTGTCCTGGCTCCGTTTTCTTGCAATGCATGCCAAGCCCTAAGCAGGGCATTCCCGTACTTGCAACGTGTAAGAAAATATTCTCCTCTTTGCAAAGGTTGTGCTCTTTGAAAAGGTGCCGGGAAATGCCCCTGTGCTTTCAAACCGATCTGCGTTCCCCCCAGAGGTTTAAGCGACACTGGGGTTTAAAAAAAAGGGGGGGCTTTGCATTGCCTACCCCGGTTGCCAGGTGGACATCAAGCTTTCTGCCCCTCCTGGTTTGGGGGGGGGAGCCTTGGGAAGTGGCAGCTTGCAACCCAACCAGGCTGGGCCCCCCTCGATTAATGTTTGTTATATATTCGGAGCTGTTAATGAGATGAAGGCGCCGGCCACAGGCCACGGAGAGAAAGAGGCAGCCTCTCTCTCTCTCTCTCATTCTCTCTCCTGCTGAAGATTAAATTCAGCCTCGAAAGGTTAGAGGCAGGCGGTGAATTTAAAGAGATTACCCTCACCTTTTAAGAAAACAGACTGATCAAAGATTACAGTTGGGAGTGGGAGTGGAGGATAGACTTCAGAGTGCTTTCCCCCCTCCGTCTCCTGCCCTCTATGCCATCCTCTACCCCCTCCCTCCAAGGCCGAGGGGGCCCACGGTGGGCATCCAAACCTCTTGCGTCCCTGGGCAATTCGAGTCTCCGCATCCGGAGGGTGAGGCTGAGTGCCAGGACGACATCAGAGTTCTGGTGCCGTAGGGGCAGGTGGGCAGGAGGGGGCGCTGTGGAGCGTGGGTCCCAAATCAGGGCATGTCCAAGTGTGTGTGTGTGTGTGGGTGCCCTAATGAGCCCATTGTTTTGGTTTTCTTACCTTGTTTTGGTTTCTCAGACGACGCATCAGAGCTTGAAAAGGTTAACTTGGTGGGATTGCAGTCAGAGCGGATCTGAGCAATTTTGCCCGCAAAGCGTTGTTCTGATTCTTCATAGCAAGCTGCCGTGTGGTCTGCATGAGCTACCTGGAGGCTAGCAGGTCTCAGGGGCTGGACCAGGGGATCCATATCCCTGTTGGTTCTCCCAGACCTCTCAGTGGGTTTCGATACCACCGCCCATGGCCTCCTTCTGGGCCGTCTCTCTCTCTCTCTCTCTCTCTCGGGGATGGGACTCGGAGGCCCTGTTTGA